GGAAGATAATGGGATACCGTAACAGGCAAAAAAAAAAAGCAGGAGGAGTGGTTCCTATCTCCAACTGGGAATGCCCCAGTTCAACATTACTTTTTCCCCAATAGCTTTAGTATCAGTAGTAACCAGACCCCACTCTGCTACAGGGTTACAGAATTGTTTTCCTCAGCGACACCCCACACCATCTTACCTTCACTCTCAGACGGCAGGACAGACAGCTTTCCCCTCCTCCATTGCCGGTTGATTAGCTCTGTCTTCAGAGGTTCCTCAGCATCTTCAGGACTGGTAGGACTTCAGGGCATTCCCCAGTGCAACTGAAAGAGCAGTATGACCAGAAGAACTTCCAGAGCTTGGTGTACTTTTTCTCCTGGTCAGCTCTTCCCAAATCTCCCTTCTTACGAACCACAAGAATCCTCCAGAAGGCCTCTACTTTCATCCAGTTCTACTTTCATTCATTGTTTCTGCTGCCTCAGAAATAAAAATATGAAAATTGCAATTGTAGCTGCCTGCTGGGCAACCGTGATGGCCTTGAGGACTCTGGCAAGAGGGTGTAGCCATCCTGCCGGCTCAGGCTGGCAAGGCATCCATTGCCAGGCAGGGCTCAGGGTCTCCTGAGCATACCACAGGATGACACGGTGCTTCCCCAGTGGGATGAGACCCATGGCTGTGTGGAAGCACAGCTTGCGGAGGGCACATTTTCAGCCAACAGCCCTCAGAAATGCAGGCACCAGTCTTCATGGCTCTGGCCGTAGCTGTTACCCGTACCTCTGTGACTGGCCTAACTCAGAGAATGTGCACCCACACACAGAAGATTCAGCGGACTTTATACTCAGTGATAGACCACTGTTTAATATCAGGGCTTGTTCAAAGATACTGGCCTACGCTATTTTCCTGGGGAAATCCTTCCACAAATTTCAAGGGAAAAGGCTGTATTTTGATTCCTATTTCCAGTCCAGTGCCTTCAAGTGATTCAGAAAGCCTATTCCAAGCAGGACTTCTTCATTTGAAGACTGTGCATTAACAACTGGGCGTGCTGCCTTCTTGACTGACACACACTGCCACCAGCAGCCCTTCCCAGGAAAGTAAAATATCATCTCTCCATTCATTTTCCCTTCCCCTTTCAGGACCCCTGGGATGCTCAGCCATAGGGCTGCTGCCGCCATTACAGGCATCTCGGGCATTAGAGTTTGTTTTAATATGGGTTAGTACGACACTGCTTCTCCCACCTTTCTGCTCCTTTCTTGTGCAGGAGACAGTACTCTTGCACAAGAAACATCGCCGAGTTGTTTGGACTGGCAGCCCATCAGAGGCAGCTCTGCTTTCACACTGAACGATCGCATTCATGAGACCTGTGGGATCCCCCCAGCCCTTAGCCCTGCTTCACCTGCACTCCACTTCGGACGGGGCATGGTTCTTGTCCCTAAAGGAATCGCATTTCTTTTCAGCGAAGTATATTAGTGAGAAAAAGAAGGTATCTAACATGCAAACATACCTTTTCATCTTGGTTTTTGAGCAGCTCTAACTCCTCCTTACAGGCTTTGATCCTTGTCACCTTCATGGACCTATTACCCGAAGGAACATGCATTTTTCATCAGTCAGTTAAGATCCATCAGACCATAAGCTATGCCATTACCTTGCTGAAGAGTCTCCATCCACACTGTTGTTCAGAACAGCCACAGAGCAGTGCAACATGGTGAAAAACCTAAGGGTTGGGCAGACAGCTTATTTTTTCTTTTACCAGGACCCATGTTACATGGTAATGAAAAATACCTAATTTTTGTTTCTCAGTGTGAAGAACGGACTATGTTTTTAAGATTTAAAAAACAAAGGTTACTAACCATTAACTGAGTTACCGAGGTGTATAATCCACACAAACACCTCTTCCCACTTTTGCTGTGCTCCACGCTAGTTAACGTAGCTGAGGGTGCAACGAGGCAGCACGCACCAATGCACACGCTTGTGGCACCAGCACGTGAGGGAAGACGACCAGAGGCGCCCCACAGTGAAAGGAGAGCCAAACTGGCTTCAGTCTTCAGGGGTCACTCGCAGTTTATGTACTTTTTTTTAAACCCAAAGGGAGGCATATTCACCTACATTTTTTGATAGCCTATCACTTTTTCTATCTAGACTCATTCTACATAGAGAGTCCTCCTATACAGTGCCAGCCAAGCTACACAACTTACTATTGCAACACTGCAGGAGTTCAGAGGAGGCTTGCAGGGTAAGTAAAGTCAACAACCAGAGGACTAAATGCTGGCAACCACTTCTGACGCTCCCAGAAAGTAAGTATTACTCTAGAAGATAACCACTGACACTTCTCAAGGATTGCTCTCTTAAATGTAGCAAGATAAGATTTCAGAACGCAGCAAGACCTAGTATTCCCATGCCTTTTATAGCAAGGAAAACAACCAGAAACACTGCTTATTTGTTTTTCCTGAGCTGTTTCTTTTCACCTATTACAATTGATGGATCTAAGCTCACCAGCAGAGAACAAACAATAAATGCTTTTACACAAAAACAGTTTGTGTTCAATGATGTAGATAACTTCTTCTACATGTTCTGAAATTCCTATGCCTCTATGGACCTTGCGTAATTTGACCTTCTTTAACCTAAAGGAAAAATTGTGCTTGATACACAGCAGCGTCTAAGCAAAGTATCTTTTGTGTTTTTATAGGCAGCTGGTGTCTTTTTTCTTTTCTTGTGAAAAGTCTCATAGATGAGAGATAAACGTGAAATTTTTACATCCCTGGCACAGCACAATACGTCTCAGGCTTCTTGGTGTAGTTTCAGAGCAGTAAGTTGATCTTGACTGTTGTCTTTAGGGACTGTTTGGAGTTTGGAGGCAGATGGTATGGAAGAAACAGATAGTAGTTGAGAATGAATTGATTCTAGGATGCCATCAATGGGGACAGCGTCTTTGGTACTGCTCAAAGGGTGCTGTTGGTTCTCCTGGTGCTAGGATCTCCAGTAATGAAGACAGACGTCCCCTCCTTCCTATCAGTCCCTGTTTCCATACATAAAAGGGTATGTCCTACATGAACTGGCCACTTCTATACCCCCGGGGTTTTTGGTTTTGCCAAAGGAGCCTTTCGAAGCCTGAATACACGGAAGTGCACTGACAGACACAGCTGGGAGACAAGAATGCCGTCTGTAAAAAAAGTGCTGTAGATTTCACCATTTAGGTTTGCTCTTCGGTCAGAATTTGCGTCTTCCATGTCCCAGTTTAACTGCATACTCTTTTGCTAAGAAACCTTCTCAGGAAAAAAACAGAAGTTTGATTGAAACATAGTTGTTGGTGGAAACATACACGGGCTAAGATAAAATAGAGTCAAAACACTATCAACTAGCCCTGACCTTTGGTTCTACTTTAGAAATCATTCTCAAGTTCATTTTCTATGAGCATATTAAATCTACCTAGTTAGATCAGAGCAGGTGATGCAAAAATCCAAACGTGTCCATGTGGCAACTCTCAGTGGGAATTCCATTTTTCACTTCACTAGAAAAAAACCTGAGTCCCCACAGTTATGACAAAAGGTACCTAGATAAAAAAATAAAATAAAACTGTCAATATTTATTAAGTTTGTAATGTTGAAGTTGTCTAGATTTAGAGATATGGGGTTTCTATAAAGATAATAATTCATTTTTACTCTGCAAAAGTATAGCAAACCCAAGAATTCAAATATTTTATTTACTTCACCTAAAAAACAAGCAACCCATAAGTAAGATATACATAGGTTTCCCAGATTTATCCCTAATAAATTTTTTAAAGATTTATACAATTTCTACAGAAACATACAGTGTATCAAAATCTGCATAAATCAAATTTATAAAATATGTAGAAATGCATAGTGATATTATCATCAACTTACAAAGCAAGAATATGGGAATTATTTTTTTTCCAAGCCTGCTATAGTAGGAAAAAGTCATTACAGCAACAGCTTCTTATGATCTCATGTTTTGTAAGGTTTCAGTCTCGCATACAGATTCATATTCACATACAGCATCAGCTTTCAATGAATTGCACAAAATACCCATTTAAAATGCACACCCGCACAATTTGCGTGCCACCATTCTTTCTCTTATGCATAGTCGTATGATTAAATTAATCTACTCAACACACAAAAATGGAGTCAGTTTTCATACACACAAGGAACAAGTACCAGCACACACCCTTATTTTCCTTTTTTTCCAGTTTCTCCCTCCTTTATTTTCTATTTTTCATAGCTCTGAAAGGATAGATGAGAAGTTAAAGAAACTAGGAAAGATCCCAAGCTAATAGATCAGTGCAGACAGCCCTATAAAGATCAAACTCTGCCACCAAGTATGATACATAACCCTTGTTAACATCAATGGAAGCTGCATGCAATGCTATTCTAGATTTCAGGGAAGTATTTAGTCATATTTAATAGTGTGACATGTTATAGGCATAATTCTTATGAAATCAGTACACTGATGTCAACATTTAACAGTCACAAAATCTGGAATAAGGATGTGAGGATAAGTCATTTCTCCTCCACCTCTCTGTTCATTCAGAGAAAGTATTTATACTCCTAGGGGAGTTCGCATAAACTCCTTTCCAGAACATTTTTAGAAACTACTTCTTCACATTCTATTCTGTACACTATAGCACCAAGTGGTTGTATTTTGTGTTCGTAATCCCTCAGGAAAAGTTTCCAATGACAAAAACAAGGAGAAAATTAGTATGAATAAATGCGGTTTCAGGATTTCCATTTCTCTTTTCAAATTGAAATCTGGCATCCAAGCTAGCTGAGAGATGTCCTTGTAAAGAATTATGTAGATGTGTTAAGGAGCTGGATGTTTTTTCCTAGTTAGAAGTTTTAGTCCACCTCCAAGTGATTTCCACTTAAAATAACAATATAAATGAAGCATTGGATTCTTTCCAAGTTTTACGTAATTGTGCAGCTTTATTTTATTTCCTTTTTTTAAAATTATTTTTATGTAAGGCATAGTTTAAACAAGCAAGTTAGTGCTTATAAATTCTTAACTGGAATCACAAGGGTGCTTACTTCCATCAAAATGTACCACATTAGTGCTAAACTTGACACTAAGCTCTTCCTTGCTCCATACACAGCATCCAGTCAAAGTAGAGCAGCCAAATTGGCAATAGAAATTTGTCTTCAGTAACACAATAATTACACGGGGCAATACGGCTGATCCCTACCCCTGGTGACAGCTCAGAAGAATCTACTGTATAATTTCCAACAAATGCTTTTCTTGTGAAAGAGAAAAATGAAAGAGGCACTAAATATGTTGAAATTCACCTTCCAAAAAAGCAGCATGACTGTGAGAGAAGGCCACCCTGGCTAATAACCTGTGGCAGTGCTTAGTAAGATGTAAAATTAAATAAAAATATACAACAGGTTGATAATCACCAAGTTCTATGAAAATCTGGTTACTCCAACCTTTTCAAGTGTGTGTAAAAAAACTGCCTTCAGACCCCTGAGTGTAATCCCAAAGAAGACGACAACGCTTTTAACTATGTTCCTATGAAACATAGCTAACAGCACATTAATTTACCAACATCTTAAAACAAAAAGATGTAAACATCTACAGAGTTTAAGGTAAAGCAGTTTTGTAAACATTAACTGCGGATGATAATGTTACTGTAATAATCACAGTTCGTCTATGTCCTTCATCCAAGCCAGGAGGCTCGCAGCTGTACAAAGTTAATAATTGCAGCAGTGTTCAGGCTATTTTCAGTCCTGTACAAATTAATGTGTCAGTAGGTAGGTTTTGTCTGTCTACACACTAAGGATGTTGTTCATTTCCCATTTTTGTGTTGCTTTACTGGAGTCACACTCTGAAATGAAAACTTGATGGAGGACTTCGGAGCGATCCAAGCACTTCCCTGATGGAATGTGAGTAAATCTGTGCAGATTCTGGAAAAGAAAATCATCAGGAACATGTGTTTTTTGGTGTTGTTTTTTTTTTTTTTTTTTTTTTTTAACATTTTCTTCACAACTGCAACATAGCTATTTACAAAAGCAGGCTTCAGGGTCCCAGAACAGAGCAGCTCTATACTCATTTTATTATTTGTTAAACCTGGATTTTCACAGCCTTCATATTATGAAATGTTTTATATGTGTAGGTCCACTTGAAACGCCTAGCATTTCTCTTAGGCAACAAACTGCTAAGAAAATGAGCAAAACTGTGTCTAAAATGCTTCCAGCTTTTTCATCCATCCTGTAACCAAAAGAAAAGATTAACTCTTGAGGACAGCTAACTCACTGGGCAGATGAGAACTGACTTCACTGGGCAGATCCTCCTTTGATTAGGCCTCACATGAAGCAACTGCCCAACACCAATGTTAACCACACTGGGAAAAAAAAAGCCAGCAGTAACTTTGTTCCCTGTTTGACTGCTAGAAGGAAGAGAAGAAGGTATGAGAGCAAGTCTGGCCTCCGGAGCAACAGGAGGCTGCCTAAGTAACTGCAGACCTACTGTGCCTAGCACATTCAGGCTGAGACTCGCATGTCTGGCTCCTTCCACGTCTCCCGTCCTGCCATGCCCGAGCCTCACGCATTCGCAAAGCGGCCTGTGGCTTCTCTCCCGCTTGCTGACCCGGCGTGCCAGATGCAGCCCTGGCTCGCTGACCAGTTGCATCTAGTGCGGAGAGCCATGGAGCAGAAGGAAACTTGCGGCACTGCGGCCGGGCTGGGGCTCTGCAGCCCTGCCCCAAAGACACGCTCCCCCCAGCATGGGGACCCTCTTCATCGCTCCATCACTCCCACGTGCACATCCAAATGTTGGTTCAGTTCTATACCTGCTCCTGCTGTGTAGCCAGACATGGGGGTCCTCTACTTAGAGAGGTAAACAGATGCCTGAACAAAAGCAATAAGCAGACCACCGCCAGCTCTGTTCTGGATGTTTGCTTATGGGCACCGAAGCCCTGCTACTGCTCGATGCTCAAGCAGCACAGATGTTATGCTCACCAAACTGGCACACAAGCGTTCATTCCAGAACCAACCAACCAACCAACCAACCAACCAGATAAAATCTCTTGGCAGCTTTCATTTACACGAGGCCACAACATTTTTGAGCAGTTCCTAAGCATTTCATTCCTTACACCCTCCTCATTAGAAGAAACGGTCATACCCTCCGTACTGCACAACAGGGTGTGCCAAATTTCTAGTATCTGCTTGGTTACACACCCTTGGTGGTCCTTTTTCTCTCACCCCCCTTTTTTTTTTTCCTTCTGGAAGCCAGTCAGTGTTTTGTTCTACAGCCCAGACCATGCCTACCGGGCTTCCTTATAACTTGCGGTAATAAGCAAACAATTACACAACTTGGTACCACTGTGGAGGAAATGGATCTTCTTGCATAAAAGAAATGCTTAGAGAAGAGCCAAGTAACATGCTGGGACACACTAGAATGGCTGGAGAGTTAACAAGTGCTGTATATTATTCCAATAATAAAGCAGAAGTCGGCAGGCACTGGAACATTGCTTATTATTTTTAAATTTCAGGTTTAAAGAATTTTGTCTGTCTATATGGCACAAGAAAGCTGGGTGGAAATGGCATTATGCTGCTTGATACTTCGTAGCTCTATGCAAATATCAGAAAAAGTGGGGGGGCTTAAGGGATAACAAACAGATTTCACAGCACTCAACAGTGCCTACATGTTTCAGACAAACACAATCCAGGTAACCAGCTAATGAATTAATAAATATGCAATATGCTAGATAGACTGAAGAAAAATTGACACAGAAGAGTTTCTTAGACACAGAACCAAGTTATGTGTGGTTATATCCAAGGATAACATCACCCTTAGACTATTCAGTCTCATTTTTTAAGAGACAAGCAGAAATATAACCTTAGACATTTCTTAAAATAACACTTTCAAAACTAGAATTAATAGAGGACTTACAGGTGCAGTGACTAAATAGACTGTAGCAGCCCTCGCATGTATATCAGCCAACATTCCAAGTCTTTATTAAAAATTCATAGATTTTGCAATAGCTTTATAATGGCGCCACGCCCAGAATTCACAACAGAGCATGTTATTAGAGAACAGCTAATGAACAGGAAAAAGAAAGGCAAAGACAACACAAAAAGGCAGAGTAACGCTATGTTTACCTATTCCTATGTAGGCTTAAAAAGATCTTCTGTCTTTAATCTGAGCGACACTTCAGTTCAGACCTCTCAGAATTAGATCTAATATTGATCCTAGCTGCTAAATGCACCTCAGCGTTTAAGTAATCTTCTCACAGCATCCATTAGATAAAGAAACTTTCTTGACAGAAAGCATACAAGCAGAGAGGGTGATGGCACAAAAAGCTTTTAGAAACTCTGTCACTGGTAGTAGACATCCTCTTTGCTTCCTCAGAGACAAGTGCTAACTCCTAACACATCTGTGGCAGCACATGTAGTCTCATGAGATTTTCCTTAAAGATTTTGCTGCAGAAGACAGCAACTAGAAC